GGGGGGGGGGGGGGGGGGGGAGTCTGGAGTGCAGTGAGGTGGGTCTCAGGTGGCAGGGAGATACAGAGGAGTGGTCCTGAAAACAAAAAATTTCATAAGTGAAAACACATATAACCTCTTCGTTAAGAAATAATGTTTGCTTTTAAAAGTGGAAAGAGTGATATATATTTCCTTGTCATGGAAGAAACGAAAACATAAACTCTTTTTTAAAAAAAAATTGCAACAATGATTTGATTTTCCTAGTCATTACAAAAACAAAACCAGACAAGGTTTTTTGGTTACCAAACAGGCACTAAAGAAAGTATTGCCAGACAAATAAGCATTATTTATTGTTTGCAACTCATTACCTTGACACAGACCACATTGGATTCCAGCTCTCTGGATGGACTGTGAAGAAATAAGGCAACAAAGGTTAAGAACAGACAAAGATCATCACAAAGCAACAGAAAACTGTGACAATTAGGCAATTCTAAAAGCACTTACAGTCACTCATAGATAAGCAGATTTTCTTTTGCGTCATAAATCTTCCGTTTGGAGTAGTCATACTACAGAAAAAGAAAACATATGTGCTGTAAAAATCAACAGGAACAAAACCCTCAAAAGCATGGAGACAACCTAGGTTGGAGAGTTGAAACAAGCAAGGGAATTTCAAACTCATCTGAAGTTAGACTACCTGATCCCTGGAGGTTTAAATGGATATTCTGGAGGAAACTTGATCTTCCCATAATAAAATCCACCTAATGATAGGAAGCGGTATCATTTCATGAACAACAACAAAAGGAGCATAAGTTAATTCCAGAAGAATAACAAATATACAAAAATGACAGGAAGACGGGTTGGAGGAACGAGAGTGCTATCACCCAACAATATCAGCTAATCCAATAATTTAAATACTGAACTCAGAAAAAAGTAGCGACCTGCAAATGGCGTTCCTTCACTCCCCTCCAAAACATAATCTGGACACACAGTTTAGATAGAAGTAGGACCATTAGTAATATCAAAGCAAACAAATGACGAATTAATTGATCAAGAGAAACCAAAGGAAAAATAGGAAAACAAAAGGAGGGCCACTCCCTGCAAATAAGTCTAGTCAGTTATATTAATTAGAAAAACTGCTACATTTTCATAAACTTACTTTACTTGTAAAGAAAAAAGAAAAAAAGTTCATTTGTTAAGAGACAATTTTACTCCATAATTGACTGCAAGAACATGAGCAGAAGTAGGACTCACGCCACTCAAGGATATCATTCGGAGAAGGGCGGGCCACAACATGGGAAACAGGTTCCTGCAATGGAGAATGCATCACTACCTTAGAGTGTTGTACAACATAATTAAATTTGCATGGTGTAGAATCAGTGGCGGACCCAGGATTTTCATTCGGGGGTTCGAAAAATAAAAGTATAAACGTGTAAATAAGCCTTTAGAAATGAGAACCTTGATTTTTTTTGGGTTTAAAACCCCACTTTTAGCACGTTTTTTTAAGTAAAAAAACAACACTAAAAAAACATGAAAAACAGAACTGAAAATTTAAAAAAAAAACTGAAAAAAATAAAAATAAAACACTTTCACTGGGATTCGAACCACGGACGCACAACTTAATTTTAGGGGGACTTACCACTGCACCATCAGCTTCTCTTTGTTAATGAGGGGGTTCAAAATATATATATTTACAGAAATACAAAAAATTTACTTTATATATACAGTGTAATTTTTTGCCGAGGAGGTTCGGGTGAACCCCCTGAAGACCACGTGGGTCCGCCCCTGTGTAGAATAGTCTAGCCCATAGAAGGCATAGGAGGACGTCATCAAACATGAGTAAGTCCATGAAGTAAAACATTCTCCAAGATATGACAGGAATTTAAGCACACAACTTGCATATCTTCAGGCCTAGCAATGGTGTGGAGGGAAGCAAGAACCCACCATCGCATAATTAGCAATTACTAGTGTTAGTTTACATGCGTTGCAAATAACTATAGACTGAAATAAAGTATCTGGTAATGCTTCAAATGTAGAGCAATAACCAGCAACTAAAAGGTTACGTACTTTACAAAGTGCTCTATATTCCTTCTGAAGGCGCTTTACACATGCTTTTTCTGCCATGTCTTAGCTTCAAAATATATTGAAACTAAGAGAGAGTGCTGCAAAGCTTTCCTTATCCTCTTGACCACCAAAGTAATACAACAACCTGTAAACATATGAGATGCTTAACAAACCCAAGAATTCCAAACTTATTAAACATAGAGAATATAGGGCATTACATTTCCAGGTAGAATAGTGCCCAAGAAAGACTATTAAGTCCACAAAAAAATAATGCAGCAACAAAAAGCGGGCAACGCCAGCTAAGTCTGTTCCCAGTAGCAATTAGGAGCAGTGGTGGAGCCAAGAATTGAAGGATAGAGGAAGCTTACAAAGAGAAGCGAGCAACATGTATTTTCAGAGAAAACAATAAACAGGGAGCATCAGAATATATTTTACAAGGTTTCTTCTAGACTCTCATATTTCCTAACTTAAACAGGCCAATAACTTCACATATTCTTAATAAAGGCAGTGTCCGGGTCAACTTTACTCATCTCGATGAATGCATTGGGTACCTGCCACCTCCCATACACACAAGTACCCAATAACTTGGTCCGACGAGGCTTAGGTAGATGACAAAAGATGCGTTCAATCAACAGTAAATATTGGACAGGACTCAGGAGACTGTTGATCAAGAACCCTCCACTTTCAATCAAATGAATTAGTCACTGGGGGAGGGGAGAAAACACTGTGGACACCCTGAGGAGTGACGAGAGGGTTTACTGTTGAAAAGAAGAATTAAGAGAAATATTGTTCAGAATTGCCAGGTCATTTACAATACGCATCCATATTGTGCATTTGAATTTCAGAAGGACAACTATCATAGATAATACAGGTCACTGACGAACATCAGTCCAGATTATAAGATTGGAAAAATAGGGTGTGATGGAAATAGTGACTGAATAAAAATTCTAGCCAGCAAACAAATGCACTTTCTTCTGACTAGGCCTAACATTCATTTTGCTTCACCAAGCCCTTCTGTTGGGGCATCACCTCTTTACCAATCCTCCCTTCTCTTCAGCAACAGATTGGATTCTTCCTGGACTTTGAAATGTGTATAAACCGTAAGTTTGTAATCAAATGGACAAATATTTCCAACAAGTCATTATATTCAGCCATACAAAGAATAGGACAGGTTTCCAAAGTAATGAGGGCAAAGAATAATGGAATTAGAGAAAAAAATATTTTTCTACAAGTGAAAAACAAGTTAGCTAGAATAAAGTAGGATGTTTGTAAAGAATCCAGTCTTCAACTGAAAAGCCTATACTATTTTTTTCATAAGAGGAACCAACACGTATCAAGTCCTTACTCTATAGTACACAAAGTTTTTCTTTTTGATGGGTCTCTATAGTACACAAGGTTCAAACACCAAGAAAGATTCTACATACTCAAGCAATGTGGAGGAAAGGAGTGAAAAAAAAATTATCAGAAAAAGGCATGAAGAGTTTTTGCTTTCTTTCTTAGAGTATCCACGACCAATCATGGATGGGGATTGAATGTGAGTACAAAATCATTGGCAAAACTATGGAATATAGCCAGCAGATAATACTAGCGAATGGATACCGTCAAGCATGGCATATCTTTCTTGGTAGAAGGTTTGACATCTATTGTTTTCCACTCGTACGGCTGTTACATTAGAAAAAGTTCAATGCCGTACAAGACATCACCTTTTACCTCAAATGACGCTTTCATGGACCAATGCCCGTCAAGATATCTTGAGAACTACACTCCATTCATTTGGTTATTTAGATATTTCTAGTACTATATAGACAACCTAATGAAAGAATTTTTCTTAAAGCAAAAAAGTGAAAGCAGTTGCATCTATAAGAAGATAAAACTCTATCTGGTCCACATTTGATTAGGAATAGGTCTTGTTTTATTGCCTACCTTAGAAAAATAATAAAAACCAGATATACTAACATCTATGATCACATCTTTATTTCTTTCCCCGAATTTCTAACCTAAAAAATAATAACTATCAAATATTCAAAGGAAAACAAGTGATGAAAATGCTAGGACTAGATAGGAGGAAATAGTTCAGAGCCAAAACACGCAATTCAGCGAATAAGTTCTCCAAGAAACCGGAACTGACAGAAATTAAGTACATTACTAACGAACATAAAGCACATATTCTCAAATTAAAACACTATTGATTATCAACACCGTAGACCAAATAGCCGAGAGACATACGCATCATACAAACAAGAAAACAAACCGCATAACAATCCAGGTAATCAGATCGAAATTCATTGTCTTCGTATCAAAATTAACGAAGTAAATGACACAAGAACATGTACATACATAAAGAAGAAGAAGATCATATATTACCGAAGATCTTGCGGAAATTGGAAATTAAATTGGGCGAATTGAGATTATCCAGAATCTGATGAAGATCTACTTCAAACGGCTGCGAGTTGAGGAAGAAAAATAATTGAAGAGAAGCTTTTCTTGGTTTTCGGCTTGCAGATGATGGACACTGACCCGACTCCCGAGCCGAAGCTGAGTCCGATAATGCAATTCAATAAAAAAAAAATTGACCACTACGTGTTGCTTATACTCCTAATCTTTGATGGACGAATTTACCCCTATTAATTGTAGCTTCGCCGACTTATCCTTCTCCGTGTGGCACTGTCGCGTCCATATTATTGGTATTGTTAATTGGGCTAAGGGGCCAAATAACTTTTTAATTATAAATTTATATACTATAATCTTTTGGAGTATTTTATTTATAAAATAAGAAATTACTATTTTTAAGGTAATTTTTACACGAAAATTTTAAAATAATTTATGGAATTAATACCGAAAAAAAACAGATGTCTAGACTCTTTTTATAGTTCAAAATCGGCATGGATGGAACATAATGAAGTGACGAGTTCATATAAATAACTTTGATTCTAACATTGTATTTGTAAAAAGTAAATATTTAATATATATATATAAATGATATATTTAGAATCCAATAAACAAAAATAATAAGTCAAAAGTATTAAGTTAAAAAAATCTAGCTTCCACTTCTTTAAATTCAAAGAAAATAACAAATTAATAAGTTAAAGACAAGGCAAAGAGGGATGGATAGACTCCAATTAGAAAATGTAGAAAGAAACTTATTCTGTGCTTTACATAATTTATATTTTTTTTCTCACGTATTGATGGACTCAAATCTTATACTTTTGGATTTACAAATTTTGAATCCACTAACTTATGATCCAAAAAATCAAGTTTCTCACAATTAATAACAGTTATGATTATGAGAGACGCAAAATAATATTTTTATAATTATTTTCCACGATAATTATCCGTAATAATAACATAATGAGTATTATTAATCGCGATTGAAAAATGATGACTTGCTTGTGAACGTGTCTTTCAAGTTCTTGTATTTGTCATGTTTCTTCATCACTATGACACTATCCTATCTTAAATGCCATGTCTCCAAAAGTAAACGTGTTCTTTATAACAAAAGAAAGAAAGAAAGAAAAAAGCTTTAACTTTAAATTAGCATATACGGTTATATGATTAGTAAATAATTAGTTGGAAAGGGAAGGTCTTAGTGGTGTCTAATATAGAATTGATCAACGAAGCATCTCAACTTTTAAGTTTTCTTGTTCTTGTTTTTCAACTAAGGTCGGTCATTCTTTTTGTCTTTAAATTTCCACATTTCACACGCATTTCCAGAAGAAAAGAAAAAGTGCTACCCCCTTCCTTTCATATAAGATCGTGTAATGACTATAAAAGTGATGGTGTCAACCCACCGCCGATTGTATTGCATCTAATATGAAATAACACGACATGAATTTTTCTGATTAACCATAAAAAATTACACATTGTAAGGAGTAAATTATTCGATAAATTAGGATTGATAATTGTTATGGTCTACTTTAAAGGCTCAATAGTCAAAATTGAAATTCCAAAATATTCAAATCAATTAATCTAACACCAAACTTAAGAAAATTCAATCTCATCCAAACCTATTTAGATTGAATTTGAATTGTCATTTTTTTATTATCCGGAAATTAAAAAAATTCCATATTCAATCCGATGCCCAAAGCCCCAAACGGTGACCACCTTTGCTCAATACAAATTCAAATTAATCAAGTCAGGGACTTTTAAACATAAGATAATACGACACAAAAACTGGTGGGTGTTTGGGTCATGAAAAGTGTTAAATGATGATATGACAATTGTCTTCAAGGAAAAGAGGATGGGGATCTGAGCACACCGATTTCAAAAAGTGAAAACTCTGCTTCCTCCTTTTATAAACATTATTTTCCAACACTGCAGAATATAAAATATAAGAGCATCTTTTGACTTGCAAATACTCTGACGTATAATTAGACAACTGATAGAAATAAAGAGCACCAATCACCCAGTGCCAAACACAGTGGAGATTTACAAAAATAATACTAGCATAATAATTATGTTTCGATTCCCAACAAATTGTCAATCGATTAATATATGAACTCTATTTGATCATATCACATTGTTATCAAAAGCAAATGAGTTCTCACTAACCATATTGTGTTTCAGAGTGAAACACCAAAAAAAAAAAACAAGACAGAGATGAATTTTAAAAGTTTTGAGTTAGAAAATTTGAATGAGTTGAGTGAGTATCCCAACAAAATGGTAGCACAAAAAGTAGTTGAGTTAAAAGGAAAGGGCAACCAGCACCAAACTATTTAAAACAACTTTAAATAGGATCAAAGCAATTCGTAAGGGATGAAATCAAATCTTTAAATATCAAAAGTTAAAGACAATATAATAATCACCTCTTCCAGTAAATAAAATATTATCACGTGCCAGGTCACATGATCACTCTGAAACTTTCTAACAACTTATCTGGAAATCAGAGTTCCAACACCGAACAGTCAAAGGAACATCACATGATCCCACTAAGCATTGGATCCTTCAACTGTTCCAACACATTCAAACATCATAATATATAAATCACATCAGCTCAGCTTCAAAGCTACCAAATCACCACAAACATAGAAAAAAAAACATCATTAACATCCTTTAACTCAGCTTACTGCAAGACTATGAAGAGCCATTCAAGAATACTAGCTGCTATTGTTCTAGCACTTCTGTTAATTCTTAGTTCAGAGTCCAATGCCGCATATGCAGCTCGGTTCCTCTCCAATAAAGATCATCCGTCCCAAAAAACTTCAACATCACAAACACTCAAGGGTCTGCATACAAAACAGAAGAAACCATTCAAGAAAGTTGATTCAAGCTTTAGGAGAATACCTCCAAGCAGATGGAATCCTATACAAAACAAGTAATTTCTGAATCTAAAAGTGTTAATCAGTTACATCCATAAGCAGTTTTCTCAAATATCACATTCTTGTACCAGGTACAAACCTCCATAGGATGACTAAAAGAAGCATCACCTCAGCAAAGATCAGCACCTTCAAAGCAATTCGTTCATTCAATATCAATGTAGTTTGGAAGTACAAAGTTAGTTTCCACTATCCAGTTAGGATAGTCACTTGCAGCACAAATACAGGATCCAATTTTGTTCCTTGGTAGCTATGAAATATGTTGCTAGATGTATTTCCCAAAGTTTTATAAATGTGAATACTATTAAGTTCTTCATATCAGTGCATTTATGAACCAACCATTTAAACTTACCAATGAATAATTTAACTAGAATGAACAAAAATTGCATGAAAAACTAAATCAAGTGTTTTCGGCATCCAATAGAAGTTCCATCCTTTCTGATCAAACAACAGAAAGTAACCAAAACTGAGAGCTCAGATACAGTAATGTAAAATTGAATAAAGAACCTAAAAGCATTACAGTTAAACTTTGATCTTCTTTCTTTTAGATTCTGACTCGCCATCTTTCCTATGCCTTTTCTTCTCGTCTTTAGACCTTTTCACTTTTTTTGAAACCTGATGAGCCAAGAAGGGGGTATTTGAAGTTTTGGCAGAAGCCAAAGTTGTCTCAATTTCTTTCCTAATGTCTTTTAACTTTCCTGGCTTTGATTTGGAAACAGTATCAGCAAGAAAGCTCTCCTTTTCAAATGATTTGGTTTCCTTTGGTCCAAATGTAGCATAAAATTCTTTCAGAGCAGATTGTTGTGAAGCTTGTCTCGACTTCCACTGGTCGGGTTGCCTTGCAAATCTATCATGACAGAAAAGGAAGCCAAATAAGTACAAGATAAACCAGGAGAGTTTAACACAACTTTAGATGAGTCTGTCAGAATGGGTTTCAGAAGGTCTTCCCACTATCAATTTGCACTTCTCCAATGAAGATGAGTGAATTATTTACACCATGTAATCTCCCAGTTCAGAGATGTATTTATTTAGTTATTTTTAAAGAAATGCTAATATTCAAACTGCCAGAAAACATAATTCGTCGCCTCTAGAGGCGTCCCTTCAGATGCTAATGTTAATGATAAACAGCATGAAGTAACTAAATTATAAGAAATAAGAAGCAGTCGCGCTTGGAGAAACAATAACCTCAACGTCTAGCCCTTTAACTTTGTGACACAAACAGGATTAAAATGCATAGAAAATAAGAGTTATGACACAACATATCCCGGATCGGGAAAAAATGTGCTCTCAACCACAGAGCACTATATGCTTCTGCTGTTAAGCTACATTAGATAGTGGAAAGGGGGAGAAGCCATGAAGATGCAAAAGGAAAGGCTTACCCATCAATATCGAGTTTCCTCAGTAGGTAAGGTCCCTGCTTAGACTTGGATAGCTCTGGTTGGAGAGGTAACATTTCCGATACTATTGTCTCTCTCAGATTCAAGTTACTAGCAGTGAAGCACTTTTCAACAGTAAATGAACCAAATGGATGCACTGAGAGTTCACCAAAATGTCCCCGAAGCCTTCAAGTTACAGACCATCATTATTAGAAAATCAACAATATCAGTTCCAACTGTATGGAGTAACAAAAGTCTGCTATAATACATACTTGGCAACTAACTTCCTCTTTTGCTTTCCCGATATATTCGAGTTTAGAAAAGATTCAATGACCCGTGAACCACTAGGATCTTTCGATGCCTCAAGAACATGATGTTCTTCTAAAGACGTGATACTAGTAACATACACCTGTATTAGTTCCTGTAGCATATCAAAAAAGATTATAATCATGCTGACAGTAACACTTCACTCGTTACTATAATAGCAATATAGTACAGGTTAAACATTAGATACACAACAACTAAGCACTGACTTTTGAAATAATAGAAGAAATAAGAGTTGACGCAAAACAAGCTAGATAGAACACTTCAAATGCCAGACTTAAGCTAAAGACTATCAACATAGTAATGGAAGAGATAAATATGTGGCATAGACATGCATATACATAGAATCAAATTCAAAGAAGAATGAGAAAGGAACACATACACTGGGAAGTCTAAATATCGACTGCAGAATCAAAGATCCAACTACATGAATCTTTGTTCCATGTGGCCAACTCCAGTTCGATTTGTCTCTTAAGCTAAAGAAATTTTCAAGAAATAATATTCGGGGGACAATACACTTGGGAAACTCATCCCCTGTGCATACAGCAGCAGCAATGGCCTGACAACACTGAAACAAAGAAGACAAAAGGAAAGGAAAACACTCAACTGATCCTTCATTTTTTATAGTCAAAGGAAACATTTATCAATAATGAAGGTAATGAATACAAAAAGAAATATTTATTGATAAACAAACTGGATACAGCGCAAACAAATAGTTCTTTTGGAATCTAGGATAAAGAGAATTTTATTCAAAACAGTATCAAGATAAAACTGTGAGAAGTACAAAACAGCTTAGTACAGTTCCTCCCCTGTTTCTTTATATCATCCAAACATCTAGAATGTTTGAACACAATAATCGGGAAAATATGAAGTGTGACCTTGAATATTCACAACAAACCTCATGTTCATGGCTGTGGAGTCTTTGAGTTGCAGCAAGGACAGAAACAACAACTCCAGACTTTCCCATTTCAAAAAGATCGCGAAACTTTGTCCCAAGCTCCTCCCAGATCAAGTCCATCTAGTAAAAAAATAGGGTGTGAGTGAGACCATAAACCAACATATGATTAAACATGAAAATCCGTTGACAAACCTATTTCAAGCTATCAGTATAATGTCTAGTCAGATAGTATTTAATGTGCAAAAAAAATAGAAGACATGCTTTAAAGTTCATCTGGCACACTGCATACTGATTTTAACATCTACCAACATTTGGATCTAGATGAAGTTCTCAAGGTCGTTAGATTCAATTCTACTTGTCCTTATGCTTATCTTACATGAAAGCAATATTCCTAATAGTGACGTTTGAAAGGCCTTACATGATCCTGACTTTTGGCATGAGATGCTAAAGCCTGCACGACGAAGTTTGCACAGTGATGAGATGACATTCGAAACAATGACTTCCTGAAAACTTTCGTTAACAACTCATTGTACAATGTTTCAGGAGCAAATTCCAGGATAGCCTGCAACATTGTGCATTAAATCGTCAAATAAGGAGAACACTATACAGGTTAGAAAGTAATGCAGCTAAAAGAAGCAGAGTAAATCATGATGTCAGAAAACTTGCAACATCTCTATAGACCTAGGCTTCATCTGATTTTACAGAAAATGGTGGAATAATGTCAACAAACCACAAAGAACTTATGCTGATATATATTAGCATAAGCCATAAAGTCTGCTTCCAGGATTAACAAATATATTTGCTCTAAGTTTTTCTTTCAGATGGTAGGATTGTGTAACACGTTCAACCATCCTCCATCTTGCTGATGTACTAGATTGCAGAAATAGAAGTCTGATACTTCATCAAAGAAACAGAAGGCTGGTATGCCAAATATATGACGTAGGCAACTAATTCAGCTGGAATTGTACAAAACTGCATAACTGGGGGGCTCATAACAACTGAACCAGACTTACAGCACCTCTATCATCTACAAGGAGTCTAAAACATCAAAAATTGAATCATGATCTTCTACACATGTTCCTTTACACCAAAATACAAAAAATACCAAACACTTCAACTTTATCATCTGGATATGACTTGATTTATCTTCGAAGAACCTTTCTATATTGTCCACCAAATATAGGTTGGAATGACTTTCCATATCTCTTTCTCACGAGAAGTGTACTACAGTCCTATGACAAAGCAAAATCCAATTGCTCAATTCAAATTAGACCGAAGTCTGAACTATAACTATCTTGATAATACCATTAATAGAAATGGAATAGACAGGACATGGCGAAACATCAGCTTTTTGAGAACATCACCTAAGAGGAGATTATGGAGGACAAGGATTATGGTAGTAGGCTAGTAAGTAGTTGAGTATTGTCTTGCTTATCCTTACTTACTAGCACTGGTTGCATAACTCTTGTAGTTTTTGGTTTCTTCAATTTATGTTACTATTTATTGTTCCTTGTGCTTCGTTTATAGTATTACTTGATTTCTACACTCTTGCTATTTTCTTGAACCGAGGGTCTATTGAAAACCACCTCCTCTACCTACATTCTCCCAAGGTAGGGTAAGGTCTGGGTACACACCAGTGTTTTGGACGGCGAGAGGCGACAAGGGCCTGCCTCGCCACGCGGCGAGGCGCTCACCTTTTTGAATTGAGGCGCCAATTAATACAAAAAATGTAAAATATTTAATTGCATATATAAATATCCAAAATCTCAATAACAATAACATTCATTAGCAATGTCCCTCTTTTTGTTAGCATCTCACGTCATTGAATTCACTATTTATGGACAAATAAATACTATATTAATTAGTATAAAACTAAATTAAGTAGGGAAGAAATAATTATAGAAGGATCAAATTTATTTTTTAAATATAGGCAGATTCCAGCCCAGTGAGCAGAGCACTACAGTCTACCACAGAAGTACAGAACCAAGCATAGTCTCAAACTCTAAATACTGAAAAACAAAGTAGTTCCACCCAGAACCAAGCATAGTCTCAAACTCTAAATACTGAAAAACAGAGTAGTTCCACCCAAAAAAAAAACAGAGTAGAGACTAGAGAGTAGAGAAGACGAAAAGAAGAGAAGAACTAGAAGAGAAGAAGATAAGAACTAGCAGAGAAGAAGAGAAGAACTAGAGATAAGATTTCGTACCTGAGAAGGAGCAGCAGTCGCGATTGCGATTCGCGAAGAAGAAGTCTCCACGAAGGAGCAGCAATCGCGAAATAGGAGGAGAAGAGGAGGAGCGTCTTGCGAAGGTCAAGTTTGCAAAAATACCCAAAAAAAACCCTAATTTTGGCTTTTATTTATTAAGTCAGACCTTAAAAAAATAAAAAAAATAAAAGGCGACGCCTATTGCATCGCCACACCACGTCATCTTGCGCCTTTCTGTCGCCATGGCACGCCTTTCTGAAGTCGCCTCGCCTCGCCGGAAAAAGGCAATGACCCCTCGCCTCGCCTCGCCTTGTCGCCAAAGGCGAAAGGCGAGCGCCTTTCATAACACTGGTACACACTGCCCTCCCCAGACCCCATTTGTGGGATTACACTGGGTATGTTGTTGTTGGAATACAACCATTTGCAGCATACAGATAGATTCCATGACTAAGGAGCTCTAAAGCCTAAACTAATTAAATATAAAATAGTAAAATACTGCTGGAAAAGCATAT